ATTGTGCTGCAGTGTGAACAGATTGTGCAAAGCACAGAGGTGCAGGGCGTCCTGAACATTCAGAGAGGGGCAAGGAAGTCTGTTGATTGACCAGTTAATTTCATGATGTCCAGAAGGCCTTGCCTCCCCCAGCTCTGACCATCACAAAGGTGAGGGCAAGACAGTGTGTGATGGGATGCAACTCCTTAACAAGCACACTATTTAGAATACGGTGCACAGTGCTTCAAACCTCAGCCACGCAGAGGTTTCTTCCCATCCTATAACCACATCCTGAAACCATGGTGGGAAGCCAACACACTGCTAGGCTACCCCTCTGTGGCCTCAGTTCATCTATCGGTAAACTGGAGTTTTCCAGGCTCAGCATGATTGACATTTTGGGCTGGATAATCCGTTCTCATGGAGGGCTGTCCTGTATATGCTAGGATGTCCAGCAGCATTCCTGGTATCTCCTGGATGCCACTAGCACTCCCTTCAGTTGTGAAAACCAGAAATGTCCCCAGAGGGAGCAAAAATTACCCCCTGCTGAGAACCATGGCTCTAAGGTCCCTCTCAGCCCCAGTGTCATCCAGCTCTGAGAGTAAATCAGGAAACACAGGGAAGCCAGCATCTGCAGAAGCCTTAGAAGCATTTCTGTGCCGTCTTCTGGCAACCCAAAGCCTTGTCCTCCCTCCCTCAAGGACCCAATGTTGCAGTCAGTGAACGGAGACCTGGTGAATGGCAGAGTAGCAGCTCCCAGAAAAGAAGGAAGGTACCCTGGGACCATGGGCACCGACTTTCACCATCTTTCAACCACAGTGCTTCGGGTGACAACTGTTGGAGATAGAGTACCCACGGGCCGTACATTTGGGCAAAACTTGAAAATTCACAAAGCCCTTTTAGGTTACTTCTTCCAGCTAATCCTCAGAGCAACCTTCTGTGGTAGGAAGGGTGGTTCCCATTTTCCAGATGTGAAAACTGAGTCCCAGCTGGAGAAATCACTTGCCCCTGGGCATGCACACAGCAGTGGTAGGGCCTGACTTGATGGAAGTTCTGTCCAACTACAAATTTTGCACAGCACAGCTGCCTGGAGCCAGAGGGTGCATGGGAGGAGAGACAGAGGTGTCCCCTCCAAGGCCTAGAATTGATCATGTACCGGTAAGTAGGCAGAGAGCGTGTGCCGTGACTCACTGAGACAAGCGTTTCCAACTGGAAGGAAGAAGCAGTGCTTTGACTGCAGCCCAGGAATCAGGCGCTGACACGTCACCCTCCCACAGTGGCCTCTGCATTGAGAGCACCTGCGTGGTCGTGCGACATGAAGGGAAGCACTTCTTGCCACAGGCTTCTGGGGACGTGGACAGGGTAGACCCCTAAATCAGATTAAACACCAGAGCCTGCAAAAGTCCTGCTTCCCCATGCCTGCTCTTCCACCAACAGAAGATGTGTGGATCCCAGGTTCAGGGGTGTCTGCCGAGAGCCCTGAAGGTCAGGGCCTACCAAGAGGAAAAGAGCATTAGCTTCCAGAAAGTGCTTCCTGAAGAAGGTGGCTTGCGCATGACCCTGTCCCCCTGTGGAGGACCTCCAGCCCGTCTGCAAGGACAGGACTCAAGTCTAAGAAGACTCCCGTGTGATGGTGTGATGCCACCTGCAGAACGTGTGTGCCTTGAACGTCGGGGCACCCCAAGCCTCTGTCTGCCATCACTGCCTGTGCCTCTGTATCTGTAGGTGCCCCAAACACGATATGCCCCACGACACCAGCAGGCCTTAATCAAATGCCTCCTACAGAGGCCTGACTGCCACTTCCTGAGGCCCATTCACCAGCCGGCCTCCTGCGGGAAGAAAATCCAGCAATGTTAGCATGTGGGGGCCCTGTTTTTATGAAGTCATAAGTTACTATCTCCTCTCTCCTCCTCTGTGTGTGTGTGTTCACATGTATCATATAGTACTCTATGCATGCATGGTTCTCTGTGTAACATAAATCACCCATGTCCATAGAGAGAGACAGAGATAACTGCAGGTAGAAGTGTGTGCCGGCCTGTCTGTAACCAGCTACACATGGGTGTGAACACCTACAGAGACATGGCGTGGAGATGGAAAAGCAGAGCTGTCTAGGTCGAAATCTAGATGTAAATCCAAGGCATTCCTGGCAACCACAGCTTCTCTTTGCCCCGTCTGCCACTTTGGGAGCTGGTCATGAGGTTGGTGAGACACCTGAGGGGTGTCCTGGCATCCCTGACACATGCACTGAGTTCTCCCAATGGCACAACTGTGCTGGCCTGCTCTTGGCTGCTCCAGAAATCCCCAAACCCTATGGGCATCCCGTCACCCTAGAGACCAAGTCAAATAAACATCCCTGGCCCACCCCCCCACCTCACCACCACCCCCCCCCACCCCACCCCGTCCTGGTCTGCTGAGTCAGCATCCGTGGGGTGGGATCTGCAATCTACGAGTAATCCTGGCAGGGCCAGGTGGTGCTGTCTGGGTGATCCTGAATGGTGAGGCCAACCTGGCATGGATTAGAAGGAGCCCTTGCTTCTCATTTAAGGGCAGAGCTGCCAAGAATAAGTCCCAGGTCCCCGGCTCTGCCCTTCCCAGGCATGTCCAGCCCTGAAGCAGGAGAAGGTGGGTGTGCGACCAGCAGGAGCCACAGGATGTTCTGAAGTCAGAATTTTCCTTCCAAGTTAGGGGCTGGGACATGAAGAACCAGTATCCCTTTCTCATCATAACAGTGAGAATGACGCTTTTGACCTTGGTCTCTTGGAAACTTGGAGGCAAATAGCAGCATGACGCCTTCGAGCTGTAAACACGCACCGTCTACACACTGAGTCCACACAGCCTCCTGGCTGCAGCATTCTGTTCTAATTCCTTGACCAGTTCTTTGCAGTCAGTCCTGAAGTCAGGCAGGGTAAGTCCTCTACTTTTGTTCTCTTTTATAACTGCTTTGATCAGCATTCTGTTTTCATTTATCTCTCCTGATTGTTTAGGTATGCCTTTTTAATTTTAATTTTTTTTTGAGAGGGAGTACAGTGGCATGATCTCGGCTCACTGCAGCCTCCACCTCCTGGGTTCAAGCAATTCTCCTGCCTCAGCTTTCCAGGTAGCTGGGATTATAGGTGTGCACCACCACGTCTGGCTAATTTTTGTATTTTTAGTACAGACAGAGTTTTGCCATGTTGGTCAGGCTGGTCTCGAACTTCTGACCTCAGGTGATCCACCTGCCTCGGCCTCCCAAAGTGCTGGGATTACAGGTATGAGCCACTATGCCCGGCCTAATTTTAATTTCTTTTAATTTAAATTGGGGAGGTCTTCAAAGCTGCCTCAAATCCTTTATGGGATCAAGTGTGACATAAACATTTTCATCCCCCCAAGAATGCAGAGTTGGAAAAGGCCTTGAAGATCTTTAAGCTGAACGTACACAAACCTGTACTGTTTGGTATGTACAAATGTCGCTAACTTACTGAAATTAGAGGTCCACAGTTAAAAATTGGGATAGTTCATAATTTAAAATGCCCAAATTTCCAACTTCTTTGGTGTAATCAGGAGATCCGTTGACATGGTCATTAGACTGGACACACAGTTTCATCTATACCTCTAACAAGTATTCAAGGATCATCTGTGCCATGTGGACACAGCCCCAGGCACTGGTGATGTACATGGCAGTGGCACGGTCAGGGATCCCGGTCCTCCTGAAGCTGATAGCAGGCTCTCCTCTGAGCTCCCGTGACCTGCCTCCTTGTCATGTTAATGACCTGGCCCCAGATGGTCCAGTTTACAACCCTTTCCTGGTCCAGCCACCTTGATTTACAGAGGAGGAAACTGAGGCCCAGAGAGAGAATGTGACTTGCTGAAGACCACTTAGTGACCAATGGCAGACGTAGAACTGGAACCCAGGCCTCCTGACTCCTGTTCCTAGGACATTCATCTGAGCCGGGGTGGGTGGCTTCAGGCAGCCACTCCCCTGCCCCCATGATCCAGTTCAGTTTCTCTCCAGCTCCCTCCACCAGGGACCGCCCCTAGGGAGGGGCTCCCTCAGTGCTGCCAGGACCCCGTGTTTTAGTAAATGTATGTCCCATGCTGGGCTGATCTGACCCTGTGGGGAGGGGCCTCTCTCCAGTCTCCAGCTGAGGGCGGGTAGTGACTTCCACCAGGAATGCACGTCATTGGCAGGTCCATTCCCTCCCGCTGTCCAGCCAGCCTGGCATCTGACTAATCAGAGCCACAAGCCCACCATGTGAGTAGCCTTGCTGTTCCTTAGGTTGTTTGCCTTTGTTTTTTTAAAATTTTTTAACTTACTATGATCAAGCTCTCAGCAGGCTTATCCAACCCAGTCATCCCTGCAGTGCAACCCGTCATTTCAGCTGTGTGTGATGCTCAGCTAGTTGTCTCCGAAGCCTTTCGTCTTCCCACCCACACACCTTTTGGAGGTTGGCAACCGCCCAGTTCTCCCCCTGCACCCACCCCCTCACCGTCTCCCTCCTTGCGGTTTCTATGGTGCTGCTGAGCCAGAGACCATCACTTTCTTTGCAAGACGGTTTCCACGGCAACGGGTGCTGTGGCATCTGAATGAAGCAGAGGCTACCTCTTCTCCAGAGACTTCCTGGTGTGGCCTAGGTGCCCCGGCCACCTCCTTCTGCTGCTGACTTCTTGTGTGGCCTGGGAAACCTGTGCTCTTCCCTGAGCCCACAATGCTCAGCCATGCTTGTTCATATGGTTTGTCCTCTCCCTCCATGCAGCTCTTGGTTCAGATGCCACTTCCTCAGAGTGGACGTCACTGACCTTTTGCCCCTAATTACTCTTTATCTCTTGCTCCCCGCTGGACTTCTTCTGGCACTTAGCACAAGCTGAAATTCTATTATTTGTTTATTTGTTTACTGCCCACCACTCTGTCTAGAATATACATTCCACAAGGGTAGAAACTTTGTCCTGCTCAATGCTCAATTTCCAGAGCCTTGCACAGTGACTGCCACAGAGTAGGTACTCAATAAATAACCAATGATTAAGTAACTGGCCCCACGTCTCCTTACCAGATCTCAGCCTTCTAGTCCATGGGAACATCATTTATCCAGGTGTGATGTTGGGTTATGTAGTATCTGTCAGGCAAGCTATGCTTTGGAGTTCTTCAAAAAGAAAAAGGAAAAGGAACAATGACTTGAAAAGTCTTTTAAGTATGGTACTGTTTGGAGAATCCATTGCAATGTAACAGATGACCCCAAATCTCAGTGGCTGAAAACAACAATGGCTTTATTTGCTGAAGATTCGGTGGGTTAGGAATTCAGGACTTAGCCAAGCGGTTCTTTGGCTCCATGTAGTGCCAGCCAGAGTCATTCACTTAGCTGCATTCATACCATGACTGGCTGAGCTGGCCTGGAAGGCCGCAGAGGCTTTGCTCACATGTCTGGTGCCTAAGTGTTCTTCCATGAGACCTCTCGCTGTATTTGGTTAGCTTGGGCTTCCTCACAACATGGCAGTTCCAGATCACTCGGATTTCATACATGGCAGCTGGCTTCCCAAAAGGAGCATTCCAGCATGTAAAAGCAGAAGCTGCAGAACTTAAGGCTAAGCCTCATGTTGTATCACTTCTCCCATAGTATTAGGTCAAGCCACAACTGATGTCTAAACTCAGAGAAAGGGGAAATAGACTCCACCTTTTATGGGAAGAGCAGCAAAGGCCTTGAAGCCATATATCATCCGCCACAGGGACAAATCCCTTCCCAGATGCCACCAAAAAGACTTGGATAAATGTTTACTCCATGGGATCAGGCCTCACTGAGTGCCACTAATTTGAGGATTACAATCATCCACGAAAAGGCTAAGCACAATGATGGACTAAGATAAAGGATGAGTTTGCTGTGGAAACTAATACTAAGGACAAAATTGAGGGAGAATATCAGCCCAACTTGTGAAATATGCTAATACCTGTGCTAGTTATACTTCTTTCGGTTACAAAGTATAACTTTGTAAGTTATACTTACAAAAACATAGTCTTAGAGACCCTTTTGGATTGCTTAAACAAATAAACACACAAAAATATTGGAAGGACTGCCAGGTTGTGGGTGAGCCTCACAGAGCATGGAAGGACTGGATCACAGAAAAGCCAGCTCTGGGGACTCAGCCGCAGGGGGCTATGGGCTATCTTTTGAGGCTCTCCTGCAACCGCAACTCAGCACTCAAGAGTCTTGCTCACTGTTTTCCTCACGTTCAAATCTCACTTTCCAGGACAGAGACTCAGTGGCCCATCATTGAGGTATGCTGCTAGCTCCAGCCTGAGGGACTGATATGGTCTGGCTGTGTCCCCACCCAAATCTCATCTTGAATTGTAGTGCCCATAATCCACACGTGTCATGGGAGAGACCTGGTGGGAGGTAATTGAATCATGGGGGTGGGTTTTTCCTGTGCTGTTCTCATGACAGTGAGTAAGTCTCGGGAGATCTGATGGTTTTATAAAGAGCGCTTCCTCTGCACATGCTCTCTTGCCTGCTGCCATGTAAGACGTGACTTTGCTCTTCCTTCACCTTCTGCTATGATGGTGAGGCCTCCCCAGCCATGTGGAACTGTGAGTCCATTAAACCTCTTTCCTTTATAAATTACCCAGTCTCAGGGATGTCTTTGTTAGCAGCTTGAGAATGGACTAATACATGGACAGACGCACAGCCCAGGCCATGGCCTTAGGGACTGTGCAAGGTATCGGGGGCAGATCCTGAAGAAGGGAGGTGATTGTAACCCAGAGGTAGGATGGACACCTCCCACTCAAATTTGATCTGGATGTTGAGACCAACAGCAACACACATGCACCCGAGGATATAGAAAGATCTAATGCTCACCCTATGAGGCTTCTCAGGACGGCAGGGCAGGTTGCCTGAAGTGCTCTGAACATGGCTTGAGAAATCACGGAAAGAAGACTGACTGTCTTGGTGTTTTATGGTGGTTAGTATGTGGGGCTGGGGTGAGAATTCCCAAGCACAGTTTGAGAGGCACTGGGCTATCCCATCAGTGGGCCCAGAGGTGGGGCAGAAAGGGGAGAGGGAGGAACCAAGATTAAAAGCTGTCAGCAGCCAAGCATCGAGAAATGGAGTCAGACTGCATTCCAAGGGCCTGCTGCAAGTCCACAGGAGTTTGGAAAACCTGCTCCTCTCCTTACGCTACAATCCACAACAGCTCCAAAGCACTGAGACCTAGGAGGCCCTGAGTTGAGGGGTACAGAAGGACAGGGCAGAAGGTCAGGTGTTTGCTCTGAATCTGGACTTTGGTTATCACTGCACAGAGTCCGCAGCGTATGCAGGAAGCCTGGGGTAGGAAGGGCGGCAAGGCTGGGCTACAGCCATGGTGGGCAGAGGGATAGGGTTTGGAGGATGAAGCAGGCCCTTGAAGAACAGAAATCGCCATCCCCTCCCTCCCTCCTCAGTTCAGAAATATCTCCGCCTTCTGAAATCACCAGCTCAGCATCAGTTAGAAAATCCTCATGGCTAAGGTGATACCTGCTCTGCATGGCCAGAATCAGCGTCCTCAAATCAAACCAAATTGGGATCAACCTAACACCCCCTCCTCCACGATGCTGCCCCTATCTCCCCTTCCCTCCCCTTGCTCTACGGCCTATGGCCTCACCTGGGGCTGCCTCACCATGTCCTTGCTGCTCTCTAAGGTCAAGGTTGCTCACGTCTGTGTCCTGGATGTGCCCCGGCCCCGGAGCACAGCCATCATCATTCCATGCTCCATACTTCTGCAGGACATTTGCCCATGCTATTCCCCTACCTGGAACACTGTTGGTAACTCCTTGTCATTCTGCTCAGCTCAAAGGCTCCTTCTCCAGGAAGCCCTTCCTGAAGGCCCCCTCCCCCAGCTGGAGCGAGTCCCCGTTGCCGTCAATCCCAGCTCCTGCTCTCCTCTTCAGAGCCCACCCACACTGTGCAGCTGCAGGGGCGGCTCCCATCAACCAAAACAGGGTGATTTTGCTCACTGCAGCAGGAGCTCAGTAAGCAGCTGAGAACAAGCACACGAATCAATGAAGGAATGAACTCAGGGTCCTGCTGAAGTGTTCTCCCCACAGGACCAGAGGCTATTTCTCTTTCCCCTCCAACCTTCGCCAAGTCTAAGCTCAGGAGAGGAAGGGGCCTGTGTGGTGTGGACCCTGCTGTTGCGAATGTTTCTGAGCCCAGCTCCTCCATTAACTTGCCTTAGTGAAGTTCTGTCCCTCACGTAAGAGGGGGTGTTTGGCTAGATGAGCTAGTGTTAACACTTTCAGAATAGTAGAGGACTAACCCTGTGTTCCCAAACGCAAAAGCCACCGTTTCCCACCCAAAGTCCCAGGGCGCGGGTTTTAGGAGCGCCTGAAGGTGGAGGAGGCGCCAATGCAGTTAAGAAATGGAGGTGCGCCCTCTGGTGGTGAAAGTTCAAACTGCAGCGATCAGGCCCCGTCAAGCGCTTGCCCTGAGGCGGTGGGTGATTCTGAAGACTCCCTTGGGGAAAGAATTAAGTGCAGGCTCCCCCCGCCACCAAGACCCGCCCTGCACGCCCACACCCGTGATTCTGATTCAAGAGACTTGGGGGAAAACCTGTGGTTCTTTGCTTTTAATAACAACTTCTAGGCCAGGCACAGTGGCTCCTAGCATTTTGGGAGGCCAAGGTGGATGGATGGCTTGAGCCCAGGAGTTCCGGACCAGCCTGGGTAACACAGTGAAACTCTCGTCTCTACAAAAAGTACAAAAATTAGCTGGGCGTGGTGGTGCATGCCTGAAGTCCCAGTTACTTGGGAGGCTGTGGTGGGAGAATCATCTGAGCCCAGAAGGTTGAGGTTGTAGTGAGCCAAGATAGTGCCACTGACCTCCAGCCTGGGTGACAGAGCAAGATTCTGTCTCAAAAATAATTAACGAGTACCTCGCTTATGGAGGACTCCAGCGTCACATTTTGAGGAATGTTGGTCTTGGGCAAAAAACAGCTGAATTCTTTGGTTTCCACCTCTGTGTTCTTACGGGGCAGTGGCCTAGCCTCTGTGACTGTGGGTGTGGCCTCAGGGTAGCAGAATTTCCCTGGGAGATGCACAGCTTCCTGCAGGGTCACAGGCCCACAGGGGACTCACTCTACCCACATAACCCAAGAAAAGAGTCCTATCCTCTTTGAGAGGAAAGTGTGGATTGGGACTGCCCCTGGGTGGCTGCACAATTGGTTGAGATTAAATTTCCTTTCTAATAGTACTAGTCAAGGTGGAGGTGAAAAGAAATTTCTGGGTTCAAATCTAAGTTTTCCCATATAGGAGCTGTATGACCTCAAGGAAGATATTTAGCCCCCCTGGGCCTCCACCACCTCCTCTCTTTAATGAGGATAAAGCATGTCTGTTGGGATTCCCAGGATGATTTAATGTCAATACATCATCAAACACAAGACCCAGCACATTGCAAAAACTCAACAAACAGGAGCTGGTTTTGTTGTAGTTATTATTATAGTTATTTTTATTATTTTTTTCCATAGGTTATTGGGATACAGGTGGTATTTGGTTACATGAGTAAGTTCTTCAGTGGTGATTTGTGAGATTTTGGTACACACATCACCCGAGCAGTATACACTGTACCATATTTGTAGTCTTTTATCCCTCGCCTCCCTCCCACCCTTCCCCCAAGTTCCCAAAGTCCACTTCATCGTTCTTATGCCTGTATATCCTCATAACTTAGTTCCCACATATCAATGAGAACATGCGATGTTTGATTTTCCACTCCTGAATTACCTCACTTAGGATAAAGTCTCCAGTCTCATCAAGGTCGCTGCAAATGCCGTTAATTCATTCCTTTTTATGACTGAGTAGTATTCCATTGTGAATACCTACTACAGTTTCTTCACCCATTCACTGATGGGCATTTGGGTTGCTTCCATGATTTTGCAATTGCAAATTGTGCTACTATAAACATGTGTGTGCAAGTATCTTTTTCGTATAATGACTTCTTTTCCTCTGGGTAGTTACCCAGTAGAGGGATTGCTGGATCAAATGGTAGTTCTACTTTAGTTCTTTAAGGAATTTCCACACTATTTTCCATAGTGGCTGTACTCATTTACATTCCCACCAGCTGTGCAGATGTGGTCTCTGTTCACTGCATCCATGCCAACATCTATTGTTTTTTGATTTTATGATTATGGCCATTCTTGCAGTAGTAAGGTGGTAACATATTGTGGTTTTGATTTGCATTTCCCTGATCATTAGTGACATTGAGGATTTTTTCATATGTTTCTTGGCCATTTGTATATCTTCTTTTGAGAATTGTCTATTCATATCGTTAGCCCACTTTTTGATGGGATTGTTTGTTTTGTTCTTACAGATGTGTTTGGGTTCACTGTAGATTCTGGATATTAGTTCTTTGTCAGATTGTGAAAATTTTCTCCCACTCTGTGGGCTGTCTGTTTACTCTGCTGATGGGTCCTTTTGCCATGCAAAAGCTCTTTAGTTTAATTAGGTCCCAACTATTTATCTTTGTTTTTATTGCATTTGTTTTTGGGTCCTTGGTCATGAAACTCTTGCCTAAGCCAATGTCTAGAAGGGTTTTTTCAATATTATCTTCCAGAATTTTTATAGTTTCAGGTCTTAGATTTAAGTCCTTAATCCATCTTGACTTGATTTTTGTATTAAGATGAGAGACGAGGATCCTGTTTCATTCTTCTACGTGTGGCTAATTATCCCAGCACCATTTCTGAAAAGGGTGTCCTTTCCCCCAGTTTATGTTTTTGTTTGCTTTGTCAAAGATCAGTTGCCTGTAAGTATTTGGATTTATTTCTAGGCTCTCTATTCTGTTCCATTGGTCTATGTGCCTATTTTTAAACCAGTATCATGCTGTTTTGGTGACTATGGTCTTACAGTATAGCTTGAAATCAGGTAGTGTGATGCCCCCAGATTTATTCTTTTTGTTTAGTCTTGCTTTGGCTATGCAGGCACTTCTTTTGGTTCCATGTCAATTTTAGAATTGTTTTTCCTAGTTCTGTGAAAAATGATGGTGGTATTTTGATGGGGATTGCCTTGAATTTGTAGAATGTTTTTGGTAGTATGGTCATTTTCACAATATTGATACTACCCATCCATAAGCATGAGACGTGTTTCCATTTGTTTTTGTCATCTATGATTTCTTTCAGGAGTGTTTTGTAGTTTTCCTAATAGAGGTCTTTTGCCTCCTTGGTTAGGTATATTCCTAAGTATTTTACCTTTTTTGCTGATGCTTAATATCACTAGATAAACATGTTTGGCTGAAAATTGTTTTGTTTGAGAAGGCTGAAGATAGGGCCCCAATCCCTTTTAGCTTGTAGATTTCTCTGCTAAGAAATCTGCTGTTAATCTGA